TAAAATGGCAGGGCTGCAACTCAGGCAGTTATTAATATTTTAATTAAGATTGATATTTTAACTACTACATTGGGATTGGACTTACATATATGTTTCTCCCTAAAGGAGCCAGTCTGTTTAAATTATCTGAAGTTCTCATAAATTCAGGTTAAAGTAAAAAACATGCAGTGTCCCTACCCCCTCGACGAAAAAGCCCCTCCCCCAATCATACAGTCCCAGGCTAGTATGGCAGCTCTACTCTCTACAGTATTTGGGGTCCATGTTCCTTCCAGCTGTCCACTCCTCCATCCCTAGGGCAAAGTCCTGGTCCTGTGGTCCAGGTGTATCCACATTCCAGGCAACAGGATATGGGGGTGGGGGGCGCTGGGAGGGGATGAACATGATATAAAGCAAGGGAAATGATACACAAGTTATTATAAGAGGTTACTTGGGTCTAAACTAAGGTGTTGGATATGAGGGCAGATCACTTGTATGTAGGGTGCAAACAAGAGAGAGATGGTAAGTACTTGTAGCTGTTGAAGGAGCCAGGGGGATTGGGGTCTATTAACAGACCCAAGAGGGGTGTGACAACCCTAGGCCTAAGGAAATATGTGTTGTAGGCACATGGGTGGCTCAATCAGTTAAGCCTTGGACTCTTGATTTCAGCTCAGGTCATGATCTCACAGTTCCTGGGTTCAAGCCCCACATCGGGCTCTGCACTGACAATGCAGAGCCTACTTGGGATTCTCTTTCTTTTCCTCTCTCTGCCCCTCCCCTACTCATGTTCTCTCTCTCTCTCTGTCTCAAAACAAACTTAAAAGAAGAAGAAAGGAAATATGTGTTATTTGTGCTGCTAAGACAAGATGTGGATTCTCTTAAAGACTGACTGAGTTTCAAGATCCAGAGTTGTTTTCCAGGTATAGGTGTCTATTGGGCTTTGGAAAGGAAAAGAGACTGTCTTTCTTCTAACTGGAGATAGTGCCAAGAAAATAGGAAACAAAGAAGGAAATACTGAGATTCAGAAATTCTGAGGTAGCTCATCTCCTGCAGTCTTAATCTGACTCTAAATTATATGTGTGATTATCTGCAAAGAGTGGCAGAGGTGGGTGGATGTCCAAGTGTTTCAGGGCTTACTGAGCAAAGAAATTTACAAGGCCTTGGGAAGTGTGAGGAGGCAATGAGAGACTTACAGCTGGGCATGAAGCCTTCACTTAAAGGGTAGTCTTATCTCCAAAGTCACAACTTCAGTGTAAGAGTCCTTCAAAGCAAGAGAAGGAAAATCAGAACAAAAGAGAGGTCCATGCAAGCACCAACAGAAGGGCATTCTGAAGGTCAGACCCTGGGTTTGTAGTTATGATACTGAATTACCTCTTAGGGGCATATCAGATGGTTTCAGCCAGAAAGTATAGTCAGCAACTAGAATAATGCACCAGGATATGTCGGTGTTTGTTGAGATGCTCATGTTTCTGATTTTATGTATCGGAAGAATGTCAGAGTTAGCACATATCAAGTGATAAAGAAACTTTTATCCCCAAATGCAAAGCTAGTTTAATGTTAGAGGCAGGTTACTGTAATATATCATAAAATGAAACAGGATAAGAGAAAAACATGATTATCTTAATAGACACTGAGAAGGTATTTGATAAAATTTCACACCCATTTTTCATTTTATAAAAAGGAACCTTACAAATTAGCAATAAAGGATTTTTTAAAAGTTTATTTAATCTGTGGGTGTATGTGTGTGTGTGTGTGAGAGAGAGAAAGACAGAGAGAGAGAGAGAGAGAGAGCAGGGGAGGGGCAGAGAGAGAGGGAGAGGGCTCTGACAGCACAGAGCCCAACATGGGGCTTGAACTCATGAACCATGAGATCATAACTTGAGCTGAAACTAAGAGTCGGATGCTTAACCCAATGAGTCACAAGGCGCCCCTAAAGGAAGTTTTTGAGCAAAATATTCACACATGCACTCAAAGATACTTAAACAGAAATAAAAGGCAAATGAATAGAAAGAAGTAGACAAAATTATGATCATTTGAAGACAGAATAATCTATCTAGAAAATTCAGGGAAATAAAGTGCAAAATCATTATTTTTCCTACAAAATAAATAACCAAGAAGAGTTATAATATATAATAGAAGTTCCATTCACAGCAACCTCCTCTGTTAAGTTTCCTATGGCAGGTGCAACAAAATACCACAGACTGGGTGGATTGAACAACAGAAATTTATCTCTCACAGTTCTGGAGCCTGAAAGTCCAAGGTCAAGGGGTCAGCAGGTTTAGTTTCTACTGGGGCCTTGCTCCTCGGCTTGCAGGTGGCCTTCTCTCTGTGTCTTCACATGATCTTTTCTATATGTACACACATCTCTGGTGTCCCTTTTTATGTAGTAATGTTTGTCTCTCTTTTTTAAGAAAGGCAAACATCCACATGCTGTGCCTCATTTGGAGGTGTCTGGAGTCATGGAAACTTGACTACGCCAGGTTCTCCTACGAGTGGATGTGGAGAACTTGTAACTTGTTTGAAGGTTCTAGCAGAGGACTGCATCTACTTGTATACAAGTATATACTCTTCTTGACCAAAGAGTGGTTCTTCTCTATCAGGGAAAGTCATCTTCTTCTACCAAGTAAGCAGCTTCAGAGAGGGACACAGGCACATGGAATGGTAAGGGAGGAAGGGGACACCTCCCTAGCCAGTCAGATCAGCCAAGTCAACCCTGGCGATCTAAGGGGTGACAAATGTCACAGCCAGACTGTGTTCACATCCTTAATCTCCTTTTATAAGGACACTGGTCAGATGGTTTTAGGGCCTATTTTAACAACCTCATTTTAACTCAACCCCCTTTCTTTAAAGGCTGGACTTCAAAATATAGTCACAGATACGCAGCAGTTAGGAATTCAACATATGAATGGGAAGGTGTAATCCAAATCATAATATTCTCAGAAAATATACAATACCTAAGTAGAGCCCTAAGAAGATATATGAACAACCAAACGGATGTTAGCTGTACCATGAAATTATACAGAAAGACATAAAAGAATGGATAAATGGATAAACATACCATGTTCTTAGTGGGAAAGTCTCAGTATTATAAAGTAATTTATCCCAAATTTAATTAAACTAAAATGTTTAACACAACTGAACCAAAAGCCTATCAAGACTGTCTTTAAAGCTCTTACCCTTTTTCATTTCTCTTCCATATTTGTTACATTATCTTCAACTGTATATTTTCTATTTCTAATGCCACCATCAGGGGGTCCATCATCTTCCACCCCAAACTGACCTTCCCAACAGCCCTGTACCCAGCGACAGGAGGTCATCAGTCACCTAGGAGAAAATCTCTGGCTTATCTGGGAAAATTCTTAGTCCACCTATAAACAATCAATCAGTCCTGCGCAGCTATTTCTGTTGAACCTGCAACTTCCATGCCTTTCCTACCTGGCCTTCTTACCTCCCATTTGGGTTTTAACTCTGCACATCACTATCGTTTAGTCTTTTTAAAATATGATTTTCATCATTCTCTTCCAAGTTTACAAATATTGTGTTTAATAGTTGTAATTTATATCCACCAGGTGACCTTGGACATGTTTGTTAATCACTGTGCTTCAGTCAACTCATCTGTAAAATGGGGATAACAGAACCAAATTTCATGAAAATTAACTGAGAGCATTAATCTGAGAACACCTAGAACAGTTAACACTTTCTATGTATTTGTTAAATAAATAAATAAATAAATAATCTTCCCTATGGTTTTACCCAGCACTCAAAAGTGCTCACTTTGAGAAAAACTCATTCCTATGGGTTTAGACACTATACGCCCCTTTCAAATAATTACATGCAGAAATACTTGACAAATAGGTTATCAGTGAACACAGATGTTCCTTAGAACAGTATATTTAATAGAAAAAGATTGAAGGATGTCTGTAGAAAAAGTGCTTAATAAAAGATGAAGTCATACCATGGAAAACTGTGGATATAGACAAAGGTAAATTTGTAGATAAAAGTTCCATTGGCTTTTAGTTGCGTTCAGTAAGAGGTGCAATATGCTTTCCTACACATTCGTTTCAGGAAGAATAGGATGTACAAGAAACTGTAAGCAGAAGACAGAGGTTTCTGTTATGAAATGAGGCTGTATGACCTCCCTACAATGAATATATATTACTTTGTAATTAAAGTAAAAACAAAACAATAATGAGGAAAAAACTAAAAAATGTTTAAAACTTCCCTTATCTCTGGGGCGCCTGGGTGACTCAGTTGGTTAAGCGTCCTACCCTTGGATTCGGCTCAGGTCATGATCTCAGTTTCATGGCTCCAGTGCTGGCAGTGCAGAAGCTGCCTGGGATTCTCTCTCTCCTCTCTCTGCCCCTTCCCCACTGGCGAGGTCTCTGTCTCTCTCCAAACAAATAAATCAAACTTAAAACAAAACAAAACAACAAATCTTCCTATCTCTACTTGTTTTGCCTTTGTTGATGGGTTTTTATCTGCACTGCATGAAAATACCGGTGATTTTGAGGCTGATGAGAAGTCAAATTTCTAGTATTTGCTTCAAAACCTCTATCCTACCAAAGATGGCTTTAAACGCCTTGCAGATTAACCTCAAATGTTAGCCTTTATTTTCTGTCTGAGAAATAGGCATCATCAAATACTTATACTTCATCCTGAAAGTCGAGCAAAGACCATTAATGTAATTGCCTGGGAAATGCTAATGAAAAGTGACACAAAGCCTTCTATCTTAACCGTTCCTGATGGTTAGGGAAACAGCTACCCTTTCCAACAAACAAACCTGACTTTCAGAGGCAGACAATCTCCATGTAAAAGATTTTGAATTTTCTCGTCTTCTTGATAATCACTTCTACTACCAAGAGAAAACTCAGAGAGCTGTAAATTAAGTCGGGCACACTTGAAAAATGTCGTTTTCCATAGATGTTCTTCAGGATTTCCTATATGTTGAGATTCAAAGGGTTTGGGGTTTGCAAGTAAAAGGTGGCGCTCTTTAAGAAGTGACTAAACAGTCTCAAGGAAATTAGTTACACGGTACGTTTTAACTATCTAGGTACCTGCTTTGACTAGAAAAACAGCCTGTTGTTTTCATTTGTCGTCTCTCGGCCTCAAAAAGCTAGGCCTTAGCCACCACCTGGTGACGCTGATGACGCGCGATGTCCTACAGCTGCCGCAATTAGAAAGGCAGAACCTTCTCCTTTAAGAAGCTGACTCACGTGGATGCTGTGTTGTGTGCTCTCAGCTGGGAAGGAGGCGGATCCTAAGCCTCTTCACATTGGTCGCTTCCCGAGAAGGGGCAGAGTTAGCCTCTTTGATTGGCTGCACGAGTACGAGGAGTTGAGTCAGGGGCGGGGCGATCTAAGGGAGCTGGCTCAGTGCCTGCGGCTTCTGGGAGGGGTGGGCAGAGCCGCGGAGGGGAGAGGTAGTGGGGGAGGGTGAACCAGAGAAGGGGCGGGGCCCCGCGGAAGGGGCAGGATGCCGGGAACGAGGGCGGGGCCTAGAAATGAAGGGCGTTCTGGGCCAACCAGGAGAGCCCACTGTTCGAGGGGCGGGGCTACGCCGAGTGATTGACGCTGAGGCCCAACCAGGGAGAGGCGGGGCCAAGGCCAGGGCCTGACTAAACCTGGAGACTCGGGTGGCCGAGGGGCTTCATCCCAGTTGAGGAGCGAAGAGCCGCCAGCGGCCGCGGATCTCACAGCCGCTCGGGGTGAGTGCGGTCGGCGGGGGCTGGGCTCGGAACCCGGTGGAGGCTGAGGAGCCCTCCGGGTCGACGGCTTCGAAGCATTCGGGAATCGGCCTGAAGAGGGGGACAGAGGCAGGAAGTGCCTCTTCCTCGCCGCGCTCCCCTTGGGGTCCTAGCACGGCCGCCTTCGACCCCTCTGGGCGGGTCCCAGCGCCGGGGCTGCGGATAGACGGGCTGGGCTGTTTCCTCTTTGTGAGGCCCAGGCGCGGCGGCCGCCGTCGGCCCGCCCCCGCCGCGCAGCCGGGGCGACCGGCGCGCCCGCAACAGCCGCGACCCCGCCGCTTTGCGCCCGCGCCCTCCTGCCGCAGCCTCTCGCCGGCCCAGTGCCCGCGGCGCCGCCTTGGAGGCCCTTCCGCGGGCAGTTCGGTCGGCGACCTCCCCCGCCCCGGCTGCCCCGCCCCCACGGGCCGCGTCCCCGCCGCAGTGTCGGGGGCGCGCCGGGGTTCCGCGTCGCCGCGGTCGTCCGGAGGCCTGTTCCTCTGCAGCCTCGCCGCGCCTCCAGCCTCGAAGTGAAGTCTGAGTTCGGCTGGGCGCTAGGCGGGGGTCGTCTTTAAAAAGGGCCGCTGTCTCGGCCGCCTGGCACTAGCCACGGGCGGGGGGCCGCGTTGGCTTTGTGTCTGCCCCGCCAGGTGATGCCAGCCACCCTGCCCTGCAGCTCAGCACCTGGCCCCAGGAGTGAGCTTGCGGCCCCGCCGTCCTGGAGGAGATCGGGGTGGGGCTGTTGGGCGGCCGTCGGGCGTCCCGGGCTGCGGCGGGCCGGCCAGGACCCCGCGCCGCCGCCCGCTCAGCTGTTTCCGGCCCGTGTTTGTGGTGCGGGAGGAGGCCGCGCCGCGCTCGGTCGGCCCCTCCCGATTGGCCCGCGGTGTCACGTGCCCGCAATCAGCTGGGGCCAGCTGGGGCCGCGGGCGGCTGGCGGGGCCCGGTCCGCAGCGGGTCGCGCGGTCGCCGGCTGCCCGGACGGGGGCCGCGCCCTTCCTCTCCGCCCTCCCCCCTCCCCACCCCCGTCCGCCGCAGCCGGCAAGAGGGTGGGCGTGCTCTCGCAGCCCCTTTATTCTAGACAGCTAGGTAGGACAATGAGTATTATGAACGCGGGAGTTGGAAAACGGAACTGCTACAAAGATCTGCTTAATCCTGACTCTTATTAATCCCCCCCCCCCCGGAGACGCTGGGAAAGTATACAGCTCATTTATTTTTAAACTTTTTCTGTTTATAGGGCCTTGTTGGTAATCTGAGGATTTTTATTCCAGGTCTCCCTGACAGATGGAAAACCTGAAGTAACCTCAGGCCAGCTAACCTTGTGTTTTTGGAAAATTAGCTTTGCTGGTGAAGTAACTGGGGGCAATAGGGTATTAGCTCACTTTGCGTAGCCACGTATAGTGTTACAGCCGAATTTGCACACAGGTGAACCAAAATACATGAAGGGTTTCCAGGGTAAATACTTGTGCTAGATGTGAAGTGTCTAGGTGTATTCTTTCCCTAAAAGTTTATGGCATATGTGTACTGTGTTAGATAAGACGGGATAAGATACCAAGATACCAAGAACGCATGGTCTTTTCTCTAGAAGCCTGTAACTTAGTAAAAAGTCATAAACAAATGAAATGGAGTAACTATTTCATAGTCAAATATGAAATGAGTGTTACAGAAGTTGAAAAGCTGGGGCAGTGAAAAAAAAATGGATAAGAGTGAAGTAGGAAACATCCTGAAGTGGATCGGTATTGATCCGACCTAGAAAACGTGAGTCTTGGGGGTGGGATGGGGTGGGGGGCCAAACAGGCCTAGAAGGAAAAACAGGCCTGGAGCATTTATAAATAGTGAGAAGGTGGAGCTTGTGGAATTTGGCACACTGCGTACTTTCCGTATCCCATTATCTTTCTGGGTATGTGCTGGAACACCAGGTAGAATGTACCTCCTGGGAAAGGACTGGTGTCCACCTTGACCATACCCTCACCCAGCTCTGTCCCCAATACAGGCCTACTGGTTGACTTGTTTTTGAAGTTTATCTCTAGCAACCATCTTCTCTATAGGAGGGAGATGATAAAATGTGCTCAAGTAAATTATTGAATCCTGTACAGGGGAATTAAGGAAAACTGGATTTTCAGAAAACTAAGGTTGGTAACGTACATGTGGCTTCCAAACATAATTTCTGGTTGGAGCATCAGACTTTTCCCTAGACTTGGTTGCGTTTTGCTCTATTTGAGTGGTGGGAGAGACAGAAAGGTGTAGAAACCATGAAAAGCAAAGGGAGATAAAACCAAAATTAAGTCTAAACAAAAAAAAGATATTACATTAGACAGTACCCTCCAATATAGGCCTAACATAGTCCTAAATATCTTCGTGAGATGTGAAAGTTATTTCTAAATACAGTCATGAGATGTGAAGATAGTCCTAAGTACATTTGCACCAAGAATATCTCTTTAGGTTTTATAGAGCCTGAATGGCTATAGAAGTCATCTGTGTCTCTGGTAATCCCGTGTAATAATGGCTGCGTAATGTAGAAAATGAACCTTAGCTGTGATATGAACTTGCTACTTGACACCTGTATGAGGAAACCAGACAGTTAATTTATACTCCGATCTACCCAATAAGAGGCTTTTTTGAGTCCTGGTATTGCATCACAACAAATGAGAGATCTTGAATTTGTCTTGCCAGTGGGTGTTTTGGGGAGATTACCAGCTCAGATTGTTTAGCTGACTCACTGAGTTCCATGACTACTCTTATTTTTTAGTGATGACTAAACAGTAAGTATTATAGAAATATAGTAAACCTGGAAAACATTCAACAACAACAAAAGCATTATTTGAAGGACAAAAACAAAAATAGTGAAGTTACTGTCAGTTGAAGACTGGATTCCACAACTAGAACATCCTTTGACACCGTAAAGGAAACTGATCAGGTATTGCAAGAGAATTAACAAGAGGAACACACAGCTCCCTTTTGTTCCCGAAACCTTGGCTTGGTAAATATTCTCTACAAAAACTAATTGATTTTTGGATTGAATTTAATGTATTTTCTCCCTTTAATGTTTTAAGTAGAATTGAGTCACAAATCAGTATGAAAATAGTTGATAAGATAACCACAGCATTAAATGTTAACTGTAGTAATCAACTATAAAAGTCTTTAGGTTTTGTTCCTTGTTTTGGAGAGGGGAGAGACTGAAAACCAGATAAACATGCTCCAGCAGGTTTTCATTTTATCAGAACTGTTGCAAAACATAGTCTCCTCTAGAAAGGCAGATTCCTTGGGCCCTCTCTGCGCTGAGCTTCTACACACTCAGTTCCTTGCTGGAGAGAGCCTTTGTACCTTGCATTTGCCAACCACCTTCTGGCATCAGAAAAGCCCTTCTTACTGGCTAGCAATAAGTGGAGTTCCAGTATTGGGTGTGGCTGGTGGAAATGCCCTAGGGAAAAGTTTACAAGGAAAAGTCTTATCTGTGAATGGGGGGTTTTCCCATTGGTGGATCCTTAGAGACTCAGATCAATACCTACTCTTCTCTCTGGTATTTCTAGGGTTGGACAGTATAATGCTTTCTTTGCTGAATTCTGCCTGCCAGGGTTGGATCCCAACTTTATTATTAACTACAGGGAGGGCGTGTACCTATTTTAAGACCTGGAACTGTGACACTGAGAATTTGAGACGCTTCACAAGTTTTCTAACTTTTCCTTCTGCTTATAATTTCTGTCACCTCATCACTTAGCTTTGCAGTAATGAACAGGAGATGAAGCCAGTTGTTTTGTTTCATAAGGAAATCTAGTTTTACTGCATTTACCTTTGTTTAACATTTATGATGTGCCAGACACTGTTCTCATAATGTATTCTCTCCATTTCATTCTCACAACTCAGAGATGGATACTGCTGTCTCTGTTTCACAGTTGAAGAAGCAGAAGACACCTTATCCAAAGTTTACACAGCTTTTAAGGGGCAGAGCTGAGATGTGAACCCAGGCTGCCTGACTCCAGAATTCAAATATCTGGGCCACATTATTTAAAATCCTGGGGATGGGAGAGAAAAAGGCCGCAGCCAGGAAATCTATTATTTATTTTTGTAATCTTTTTAGAGCTGATTTGATTATAGATAGTTAAAGATTTTAGCTAGAAAAATCTGAAGAAAAGGGGAGCAGGATAAAATTGATCTTGTCTAGTACTCCTATTGATCCTTAACCCTGAGTGCCAACTAAGTTTACTTTTTTTTTAATTGAAAATGACTATCTGCTTTCTATTTTTTTTTTTTAATATTTTTATTTATTTCTAGGAGAGAGAGACAGCATGAGCAGGGGAGGGTCAGAGAGAGAGGGAGTCACAGACTGAAACAGGCTCCGGGCTCCGAGCTGGCAGTCAGCACAGAGCCCGACGCAGGGCTCGAACCCACGAACCATGAGATCACGACCTAAGCGAAAGTCGGACGCTTAACCGACTAAGCCACCCAGGCGCCCCGACTATCTGCTTTCTAAATGAAAAGCCTTGTTCACCATCTGAAGGAATTTTTAACAGCGGTTGGCATACTTTCAGGGGCCAAATAGTGAATATTGTAAATCTTACAAGCCATAAGGTGTCAACCATAACTATTCAAACTTTGCCGTTCCAGTGAGACAGCTGTCAAGTAAAAGCAAATATGTGTGGCTGTGTCCCATTAAAACTTTATTTGTGGACATTAAAGTTTGAATTTCGCATAGTTCTCATGTATCACAAAATAATCTTTTGATGTTTTTTCTTATTTAAAAGTGTGAAAACCATCCTTAGCTTGTGGGTGGTACAAAAACAGGTGGTGAGCTAAAATTTTGCCCACAGGTGTTAGTTGTCTAACCCCTGTTTTTATTTTGTTTTACATTTTATTTATTTTTTTTAATGTTTTATTTATTTCTAGGAGAGAGAGAGACAGCATGAGCAGGGGAGGGACAGAGAGAGAGGGAGTCACAGACTGAAACAGGCTCCAGGCTCTGAGCTGGCAGTCAGCACAGAGCCCGACGCGGGGCTCGAACCCACGAACCATGAGATCATGACCTAAGTGAAAGTCGGACGCTTAACCGACTAAGCCACCCAGGCGCCCCTTATATTTTATTTTTTATTATTATTTTTTTAATACAACTTATTGTCAAGTTAGCTACCATACATTGTTTACAGCGTGCTCTTGGTTTCTGGGGTAGATTGCCACGATTCATTTCTTATATACAACACCCAGTGCTCATCCCAACAAGTGCCCTCCTCAGTGCCCATCACCCATTTCCCCTCTTTGTCACCTCCCCCCCACATCAACCCTTAGTTCTCTGCATTTAAGAGTCTCTCATGAGTTTGCCTCCCTCTCTGTTTGAAACTATTTTTTCATCTTCCTTTCCCCATGGTCTCCTGTTAAGTTTCACAAGTTCTACATATGGGTGAAATCATACAATATGTCTTTCTCTGACTGACTTCCTTCACTTAGCATAATACCTTCCAGTTCCATCCATATTGTTGCAAATGGCAGAATTTCATTCTCTCTCATTGTCGAGCAGTATTCCATTGTATATATAAACTACATCTCCTTTATCCATTCATCAGTTGATGGACATTTGGGCTCTTTCCATGATTTGACTATTGTTGAAAGCACTGCTATAAATATTGGGTTACATGTGCTGCCCCTATGAATCAGCACTCCTATATCCTTTGGATAAATTCTTAGTAGTGCTATTGCTGGGTCCTAGGGTAGTTCTATTGTTAATTTTTTGAGGAACCTCCACACTGTTTTCCAGAGTGGCTGCACCAGTTTGTATTCCTGTCAGCAGTGCAAGAGGGTTTCGTTTCTCCACATCCTCACCAAACATCTGTTGTTTCCTGAGTTGTTAATTTTAGCCACTCTGACCTGTGTGAGACGATATCTCAATGTGGTTTTGATTTGTACTTCCCTGATGATGTATGGTGTTGAGCATCTTTTCATGTGTCTGTTGGCCATTTGGATATTTTCTTTGAAGAAGTGCCTGTTCATGTCTTTTGCCCATTTCACTGGATTATTTGTTGTTCGGGTGTTGAGTTTGGTTAAGTTCTTTATAGATTTTTGATACTAACCCTTTATCTGATAAGTGATTTGCAAATATCTTCTCCCATTCCGTCAGTTGCCTTTTGGTTTTGTTGATGGTTTCCTTTCCAGTACAGAAGCTTTTTAGTGAAGTCCCAATAGTTCATTTTTGCATTTATTTCCCTTGCCTTGAAAGACGTGTCAAGTAAGAAGTTGCTGCAGCTGAGGGCCTGACCCCTGTTTTTAAGGAAAGTGTGTAGCAATGAGCCAGACTAACCAACAAGACACCATATTTGTTATTGATTTATATATGTATGTATATATAAATGTGCTACAGTATGGTATTGACCAAAGAATAGACAATTAGATTAGTGGGACAGCATACAGAGCCCAGAAATAGATCCACATAAATATCATCAGCTGATATTTGACAGAGGAGCAAAGGCAATACAGCAGAGCAAAGATAGTATTTTCAACAAGTGGTGCTAAAACAACTAGACCTCCACATGCAAAAAAAAATTTAGACCCAGACCTTACACCTCATTCACAAAAATTACTCAAAATCAGTCACAGACCTAAATGTAAAAGGCAAAACTATAAAACTTTTAGAAGATAACATAGGAGAAAGTCTAGATGGCATTGCATATGGCAGTGACTTTTTAAATACAACACCAAAGGCATCCGTGAAAGAAATAATTAATAAGCTGCAACTCATTAAAATTAAAAACTTCTGTACAAAAGATGTCAAGAGAGCAAGAGGATAAGCCACAGACTGGGAGAAAATATTTGCAAAAGACATCCGATAAAGAACTTCTCCAGAACATACCGAGAACTCTTAAAAACTGAACAAAAAGAAAACCTGATTAAAAAATGGCGAATAGCAAATGAAAAGATGCTCCGTATCATATGTCATTAGGGAAATGCAAATTAAGACAACAGTGAGATACCAATACAAACCTATTAGAATGACCAAAATCCTTAACACCGACAGTGCCAAATGCGGGTAAGGACATGTAGAGCAATAGGAACTTTGATTCCTTGCCGGTATGAATATAAAATGGAAGACATAGTTTCTTACAAAACTAAACCTACCGTATGATCCAGCATTTGCACTCCTTTGCATTTATCCAAAGGAGTTGAAAACTTCTATCCATACAGAAACCTTCCTTTCACACATTTCTGAAAGAAATCCTGCCTTATTTTGCTGTGAACCTGAAACTGCTAAAAACAAACAAAACTTAAATCTGACCTAAAAATAGCCATTTTTAGAACGTTGTTTATTGACTTGGATTCAAACTAGGAAATTACATAGTCCATATTGTCTAACTCTTTTAAGTTTATTTAGAGTATGTATGAGCAGGGGAGAGAGAGAGAGAGCGTGAGCAGCACGCCCCCATATTGTCTAATTTTTAAAATAGTTGACCTTGAACAATACAGGTTTAAACTGGTGAATCTGATTATATGTGCATTTTTTTTTCAATAACCACAGTACGGTTGATATATTTTTTCATAGTTTCCTTAATGTTTTGTTCTCAATCTTTAAGAATACAGTATATAATATATCTAACAGCGAAAAGATGTTATTCGATGATTATGTTATTGGCTATGGTTTGTTATGTTTATGGTGTCCATAGGCTTCTGGTCAACAATAGGCTATTAAGGTTTTGGGGAATTAGTGGTCATATATACATATTCCACTGTGCAAGAGAGGAGGGTGGCATCCCTAACCACCACCCCCCATAGTGTTCAAGAGTCATTTATAATCCATTCCTTGAGATTTTTTTTTTTTATGGATAATTTCAAAGAGAAAAACTTTTTTCTCTTACAAGTTCTATTAAATCCTGTAAATTTAAAAAAATTCTGTTAAAAAGGTACCGTTTCTAAAAATGTGATTGCTTTACTAGGGTCTCCTATTAAAATAGAAAATGGACACTCTAAGGAGCTAAATGTGCTATTAAAGGGGAAGGAAATTGAAACAGTTACTAAACTGTGATCTATAGATCATCTGTGAATTTTACTTATATTTTCAACTTGGCCTCTCAGTTTCCAGTAACTTCAGATAAACTGATAATAGGCTCCCAATAAACAACCATGTTCGGTAGTTATTTCAAGCTTTTAATAACCTGGAACTAAGAAAAGCTAGTACCAAAGAGGGCTTATTTATTAAATTATCTAGGGAATAGTACTTACTAAAAATGTGTTTTGCTTGAAATGTTAAAAAGAAAGAACACATCTTAAAGTTTTAGCTGTGATGAGTTTGGCCTTAGTTTTGGTTATAAACTTGAACTTCAACACTGACAGAGACCAAAGCATGCATTTTATTACTTAGGGATACAGTAAGGTGTCTCTAGAGTCAGCACAGAAAACATTAGTCATCTATGAAAGCAGCTCAATTTTAAGATGTTTTTTAAATATGTGACTGAAGAGATTTAGGATTCTTCAGAGTCTAAGCAAGGGACTTAGCATATCTGGGAAATATTTTGGATGTAAAACTAGAAAATCAGTGGTTGCCTGTGATTGCAGAGGGGCTTGTAATTTGGGGGAGGTGATAGAAATATTCTAAAACTGGTTTGTGGTGATATACAGTGGTAGCACAACTTTATAAATTTACTAAAAATCACTGAGTTGTAAACTTACAGTGACTAGATTTTATGTTATGTAACTTATTCCTTTAAAACTCTGGGGGTTTTTTAGCTAAAAGAATTAGCTATATTCTATTCAGTGAGACAGATTTTCAGTTTGTGAGGGAGTGGTCTGTATGAGCTCTTAGAGATGCCTAAAGCACATGCCTTTGACCTTAATTTTGTAGTGCTATCAAGTTTAACACAAGTGTAGTGGCACCTGTGAATTAAGACCTTAATGGGGAAGGAGGAAAGACCTCCAGAAGTGATTTAGGAAGTATTGTTGGTTTTGCAATTTCTCTAAGAAGTTACCAGGGTTTCTCATTTAGGAGAGTGTAATTTGAATTGGCCACCAACCAAGAAAGGACATCTAAGAGGGATCAGCATGGAGGCAGGAAGGGTACATGATTAACCTGAATCTGGTAGCCCTGTGGTCACTAGGGAATGAAAAGGGTCAAAAGAACTGGAGCAAGGTTTCATTCAGGCCCTGGCTTGGCCAGTGTCAGGACTCTATTTCTTTCTCTACCTAGGAAGGTGACAAATTCCTAGTTAAGAAAATTGTCCAGATTAAATGTGGTATGTAAAGTACCAAGTGCAGTGTCCCATACAGTGTAGACGCTAAAAAATTATTAGGTGTAAGGCAGAGTTTAATATAATCTCCAGATCCCAAGAAGCCTAATTCTGGTGTTACATCTTAGCTTTTTAATGGCCTTCCTCCTTCCATAATCAAGTGGCGTTCTGATTGATACCAGCCTCTTAAGAGTTTGGATAGTGTGAGTCAGTAGTAGGTTGTTCCCAGCACTGCAAAGCTAAGGCTTAACACCTAGAGCCTAATGACCCCACCCTGCACAGGTTTTTCTACTTCATAAAGACCTTTGATAGAGATGTTTTGCTTGCTTTTGCTGGATTCCATGGCATTCTAACTTATCTTTTTTGGCAAATAAGAACGACATTTTACAGTTTTATGTACATATATAGTACTGTATAAATGGAAACCACAACTAGGAATAGTGATTCTGTACAGATATTTTTGGTCTTGGTAATGAATCATATAATTGAATCCAGTAAAAAATACTTGGGTAAAAGTAAAAAATAGACTGAACTTGAAGCAGGGAAGAGAAAGCATATTAAGTCTCTTTACCCCATTTAGGATAAAGGACCAGTAGCAAATGGTCACAGCTATATTGTAATTTTGAATCAAAGACAGAATGATGTAGACAGAGAGTATAGGGAGAGTTTGTTTTGAAGCCCAGTACATTTTCCACAGTAGCATTGTGTCTGCCATGGCCAATTCAGAAACATCTAGATACTCTGTATTATGGTTGAAATAACTTACACTATGAATATTCAAAAGTTTGAAGGAAAATTGGCTTTAAAGTAATGAGTCCCAGAAGCCCAAGCAGGGGGGTTAATCATTGCACAAATACTGGTTTTCAGAGAAATACAGAATCCCAGCCCTGTGTCTTAGGTGGTATGGTAAACCTTGCTGTTGGTTACTTTCTGTAAATGACCAGTATTAAGAAATATGACCCAGATCACTTGCTCACAAGCCGTTGCATGCTTTGGTTATATGAAGAGTCATAAACTCCGATGTCTTACAGGGGAAGTAATTATGTGATGCAAAGTGGTGACTGAGCAGACAGAATGACCTCAGGGGAGTTGCAGCTACCACTGACTCTAGTCATTGTTGCCATATGAGAATGTGTGCCTCGTGTGCCATATCTCTCCATTGTTGGGGGAGAAAAAAATACAAGCTCTATTAAGAGAAATCTCTAAAGTCTTAAATGGCGACCCACCTATTTTTTTATTAATAAAAAACTGTGGGCCACATTTAAACATGTCCACATATGTTTTGTAAGGGAAGAGTTGTCTGTTTTGTTCACTGATGTATCCCTATGCCACCAGACAAGTTCAGCCTGCAGGCCTCAAAGACCTCTGACCTTTATGTAACAAATACTGTATTCTTAAGCATCTAGAAAAGGGAATGCTATCATTTTAAAGGCTGAAACAATAGTCTTACCATCTGTTGTCATTTTGGAAAAATGTAATCAAAAGCTAAATACTATTTCTAAAGTTGTGTCAGTTTCACCCAGGGTTTATTCACTGACATGTTTGCTTAAAGTGCAATGGATTTCTTTTCAGCAGCCATAGATTTTAATTGAACTTACCATTTGTTTTTCATTCTTCTTAAACTTCCATATCAAAATTTTTAATGGACGTCATAATCTTTGTGATAATGACTTTTCTGATGACCTTAGGACTGCCTAATAACTAAGGACATTCACAGATGTAAGAAGAAATGGAATTTTTAATTTGTAATGAAATTTCCCCCAATTTAAAATGACAGTGATTCTTACTACAAGCATAGATTGTAGATTTTCTTTCACGGTGGCAGCTATAGCAACCTGCTTGCCATTTTAAATATACGTAATACAAATATTTAAAACATAGTGTTTAAGGGGATTAATTGCTGTGAATTGAAGGAGTTGTGCATAGTCACTCTAACTTTTGAAATCCCGAAATGTGATTATCCTTGTTTCAGAATTTGGATTCAAAGCTTTTTCTTTATTCCCCTCCCGCCCCAATGTTTCAACACTTCTGCGATTTATTGAACCGTGTGATTTCTTAAACATAAGTTACGTAATAATGGCTTCTCTTTCTCTTCTCCTCTGTTCTTGTTTTCCTAGCCGTGTGCCAGGGCATGGAAGAATTTTGGCTTTAGGTTGGGTGAACTGCACTCCAGTCATGGTGTTCTGTACTTGAAAGCTGTGTAACCTTTGATCACTTAATAACCTTGGATAATTTATGAAGTGGGGATGATAACCTCACAGAGTTATTGTGACGATTTTGAAATAAGGAAAGCACTTAGTGCTCCACAGACTCCAGCCATCACCCCTACATGGTTATAGAGGTGCCTGATGACCAGAGCCATCCCATGCTCGTGACCAAGACTCCCCTCTTCTCATTTTCTGATGCCCCTTTTTTCACTCTTGGAATTATCCCACTCATGCCCCACAGTCTTTCCTCAATTTATACATACTCAGAATGTACATTTAATGCTTAGGCTAAGCCTTTCTTAGGTCTCTGCCTGTGCTTCTCACTATTCAGTTTCTGATACTCCACTTTCTTCCTGTGTTTTTCATACCAACCAAAAGAGAAGTGATGATATTGTTCTGGCCTTGCCTAAGCGTGTTTGCTTCCTTGGCTCACTGTTTCTAAATGGTTCTTAGCTTGGTTTGCCTGTTTATTTGTTCAGTGCATGAACCTTGGATCCTTTAGTACAGAGTCCACTCTTTCCCATAATGAGTACTACTACAAAGCAGAGATCACATATATATGTTATTTATACATACATCTCTATACGTATCTATGAATGGTTCTCTATGACCCCCACCTCGTAGATACCAACAGTTTTTTAAATCATAATGCTTTCTTATGCTTTTCCATTTGCTCCTAGGTTTTTAGAACTTCAGCTATAAAAATGGGCAGAATTTTCCTTGATCATATTGGTGGTACCCGTCTGTTTTCTTGTGCAAACTGCGATACAATCCTGACCAACCGCTCAGAACTCATCTCTACTCGGTTCACAGGAGCCACTGGCAGAGCATTTCTTTTTAACAAGGTTGGTGGGAAAACCAGTTCCATTTTCTAAGTGGGTTCAGTGAATATATTTGACAGCAGTACCAGAATACCCCTCATAGTTTGGAGATACCAGAAATGAGAGCTATATTCTGCATGTTCAAATGAGTGCCCGCTAGGCTTACCTTCGGGACCTTAGGAAGGCATTACTAGAATGTGATTTTTTTACCATTAAAGTTTAAAGACTGTATTACAGTAAGAAGAGTAGTCTCCATTGCTTTAGAAAACATGCAGTGTAAGAACTTTGTAGTGACTTCATGGACTATGGAAGAAGGAGTAGAAATACTTCTATACCCATATCACTGATTGGTCCTTAAGGGGGGATGGCTTCATGAAGCTCTCATAGCTTGACAGGGCAACTGAATGAAGATCATCTAACTTCCCTTGCTCTAATTTATGCTTTCCAGTCATAACTTCTGATTATGTTGTGGCTTATGGGATGCCAACGGGAAGAGCATTTCCCGATTTACAAATTAATGACTAGTCTGCCTGCTTCTCTAATTTCTGGCTTGCTTTAAAATTGGTTGAGTGATTCTGCCTCCTGGAATCTAAAGTGTACTAGGAGAGTTGAATTTCTAAATCTTTTAGGCTAAGGGACAGAACTAGTCTCAGGTGCTGCTCTTAAAAGGCTAGCAGAATTTCCCCAGTGGACACCCCTCTGTTCCACTTAGAAATAGGCTTTTCTCTCACATAATTGATAGTGTATATACCCTTGACCTTTCTTTAGGTATAGAGCAGGAGTTGGTACACTGTGGCAGGCCAGCTGTCTGTTTTTGTTAATAATGAAACACAGCCATGCTCATTCGTTTATGTATTGCCTGTGGCTGCTCTTGGGCTACACAACAGCAGAGCTAAATGGTTAGAACAAAGACCATCTCGCCTTCAAAGCCAGAAATACTGACTATCTGGCCATGTAGAGGAGAGTAAAGTGTAGAGGACTGTTGGATGTTCAGAATCCTTGGAGATTCTTCACAAATTATTTGAGCCCACTTGAAAACTGTATTGCAGTATATGATCTGAAGTTGGCTTAGTGTGTCCCTGTTGATCTGTATATAAAATGTATTTCTGGAAACAGAAAAAACCTTTTCTGTGGAATCCCTGTTGCATACTAGCTTCTTATACATCGGTAGCCTTCTTTGAACTCATTGAATGGTGAATGGTAACAGCTGGTCCCAAACCAACATTTTTATAGCTCCAAGTTGAGGACCCTTCACTGCAACACAGAAATGTAACTAGTGTGTATAAATAATGTGGCTAGGACTGGCATATAGTACAGTAATTCATGAGTGCATTAGATGTCCAGTGCAATTTCCAGATATTTGCCTTTCCCAGCAGCTTCTAAAAGTAGCCCCTGGGAAGGGTATTGTGGGTTTGACTAAAGTAACAACTGCTATTTGCTTTTCTGAAGTTGCTCTTACTGCATCAGCCACAATAACGTGTCCTTTTTTGGCCAGTAACTCACATGGCTCTGCGATTTTGTGTTCCCCTGTTTCTTAGGTAGTTAACCTGCAGTACAGTGAAGTTCAAGACCGGGTCATGCTCACTGGCCGCCACATGGTTCGCGACGTGAGCTGCAAGAACTGCAATAGCAAACTGGGATGGATCTATGAGTTTGCCACTGAAGACAGCCAGCGCTATAAGGAAGGCCGTGTGATCCTGGAGCGCGCCCTAGTGCGAGAGAGCGAGGGCTTTGAGGAGCATGTACCATCTGATAACTCTTGAAGAAAAAGAGCTAACTCCATCCCTTCCCAGGTCTCCTTCACTGAAAACAAAAATCTACTTACATACACTGTCACCTTAGCATCAGGGTCGGATTCATGAACTGCGGAACAAGAGGTTGTGAGAATCTAAGATGGAAACTTTCTTTCTTTCTTTCTTTTGTTGTTTTTTTTTTTAATTTCAATTTTCCATCCAGCAGCAGTGTGTAGAGAGAATATTATGCAGATGCCGTTAATTTTTTTTTTTCCCTGTGTTTACATCTTGAGGCAGGATAGTCTATCTGCAGCTACACGATGGGCTATGTGAGGGAAAAAAATCTGGGCTATTAGAGTGAAAAAGTGTGTTGTATGTAAATTTTGAAAGGAAAATGTGTCAAGAGCATGGTTTTTAAACTCATTTGGCTTCATTTTAAAAAAAAGTTTTTTTAACCCAGTTATTTCACTTGATTTGCTAGCTTCAGGGAAGAGATCCGAAGTTGTGACCAGCGCTAAAGGTTCAGTGTTAGTATGGCTTGTGCTGGCCCTCGTGCCATATTCTTGTTGGAGATGAACCGTAGCACCAGAGCCCACCCGTCCTTGTCAGTCTTGACCCAAAGATGTCACCAGTCCTAGTTATTTGTCACCACATAATTGGTGTTGATTGGAAACTTTTCCTGAAATGGGGCAGAACTGCTTGGTTGTCTTTTCCATGTAACTTAAGCATAGTAATATAAATAAAGTGATAGTTGGATGTGTTTGGTCCTGTGTTGCTTTTAAAAACACCTTTTAAAAGAGCAGAGTGTTTGAGAAGTAATTTTCCTGGTAGCGTTTCTTTTTATCTCTTAAGCTAAATTGACTGTGTAGAGATTACTTTGTTGAAAGCATACTGTTGAAACTTCTAGGACTGCGTTCAGAAAAGAGTTGAACGGAATGCCGGTGTGCATCCATGCAGAAAGCATTTCATCTGCAACTGTTTTCCAAGAAGGGGAGAAATGAAGGAGCCTATCTAAAATTACTGCTTTGCAAAGTGTTTTCAGCCTACCCTCATTTTTGTGTTGATTTTTTGACAAATCTGTAGAGTCTGATAGTTTCATCAAAGCACTAGATCTGTCATTAGCATTATTTTCTCAGATCTACCCTCAGAAGTTCAGCTATTGAAATTTAAACTGTACTTGGTCCTTTCAAGCAGAAAAGGATCAAATGCGACTCAGGGTGTTATTTTAGGCCCCAATTTACAACATGATGAAGTATTAAAATATAAATGTTTCTTTATCCAAATGATTTCTAGATATTCTAGTATTTGTTTCTGGTGGAATAAATGACATTAAAATTGGCTAATTATTTAAATGTGTGAATGGATGTTTGCGTGCTCAATCTCTAGGTCTATGTCTAGAAAGCATATTTGCCTCAATTAGCAAAATCTTTCTGTCCTTGATATTAGAAGTGACTTCTGAGTACAGTTACGATTAAGTTTCTCTTCTTTGCCTTCGGGCTCTTGGTTAGAGCCGTAGTTCTCTGATGAAGTAGGTGTATAATACTGTATTTGAGAGAAGTGGGCACAAATGATCTTTCCTTCACCGTGGAATAAATCTTCAAGCTTTAAGAACCAGCTTTCCTTCCCATCCATTTCCATACTGGCCTTGGATTATATGCACACCCCTGCTAGCCTGCCTTACCTGCAGCACTATGTGCATTTGCTGTCACAATAAAGTATATTTTGTCTTGCATTGGTGCAATACTACTTATTTTCCACTGAGTCTACTAAACGTTTTAGCTTAAAAAAATTTAAGTTTATTTATTTTTGAGAGAGATAGAGACAGCGCTTGGGTTGGGGGAGGGGCAAAGAGAGAGGGAGACAGAATCGGAAGCAGGCTCCAGGCCCTGAGCTGTCAGCATAGAGCCCGACACAGGGCTCAAACTCAGAAACTGAGATCATGACCTGATCCTAAGTCGGATGCTTAACCGAATGAGCCACCCAGGCTGTCTTCATCTTGTCTTAGTTTTAACGTGAACATATATGTTGTACCTATGAGTAGCTAGGCTTTCTTCAGTCAGCAGTGATAAAGTGACATTCTGGCTTAACTTTACCTAATCTACACCAGGAGATACTGAATACTAACTTCTGTGAGCTGACTTTGCCTCAGGCACTGATGAACTATAGTTTAGTGTATATGAACAAATAAAGTGACCCATCACTAGATTAACTTAGGCGACTGGCAGGCACCACAACGAACAAGGCAGGCACCACAACAAACAATGAGGTCCTCTACGTCTTCCTTTTAAAACCTTGTATTTGCAAAACTGACAAAAACAAGCAACAGGGAAGATCCAGTCAGATCGGGTTGTTTACGGAAAAGCAAACACACTGTTCGCTGGAGATGGGAAAGCACTAATGGGAAGGATTTTGCTTTGGGATGAGGAGGTTTACCAAATACAGGGGAGTATACCACATAATCAGTAGGTCACTGAGGGATGGGCGGTAAGCTTTAATATTCAGATCCCTTCCTCCTTTTTTTAAAAAAAGTTTTTTAATGTTTATTTTTGAGAACAAAAGTTGGGGAGGAGCAGAGAGAGAGGGAGACACAATTGGAAGCTGGCTCCGGGCTCTGAGCTGTCTGCACAGAGCCTGACGTGCGAGATCATGACCTGAGCTGAAGTTGGATGCTTAACCGACTGAGCCATCCAGGGGCCCCCTGAACCCTCCCTCTTAATTTTAGGTGACAGTGGCCATGAATTATTTTGATTTTAAACAACAGGAGTGCTTTTATTTAAAGAGAACCTAAAGTGAGTAATTTTGGGGTTAAGCATTTGTTAGTGATTATTGTAATGATTTTTGTTACCCTTGTGAGTGGCTACTTTGGGATTGAAGGAGAAAAATATTAGTACCACGTCTGTTTTCTAAATTTACCTGTTTGTCAAAGTCACATGGGCTGTTTGAATCCAGAGGTGGCCCCAGCCCAGGCTGAAATCAGTCCACAGGTAATCTTGATCTGGCAGGATTGGGAAACTACCAGTAGTAAAATATTCAAAGACAGGTTTATGATGGTTCATTTCCACACTGGTTATAAAAATATCTCAGTTTAAATAGATACCCACTACTGCATGCCTGTTTTAACACCAGCTTCCCACCAGGAGCCATTTAAAACCTTCTAGGGAAGGTGTGAAGGGAGTAGAGCAAGATTAGACTGAAAAACTCCTGTTAAAGCCTAGCACTTTGCACTGATGTGAAAATTATTATTCAAATAAAGCAGAACTAAAAGGAAAAATTAGAATGGATACCCATCTAAAATTGACTGTGAATTGTATGGCTTCTTGGTTTTAAAATAGTGGGACTTAACAAATTGAAGCTTCTTGGGGCGCCTGGGTGGCTTAGTCGGTTGGGCGTCCGACTTTCGCTTGGGTCGTGATCTCGCGGTTCGTGGGTTCGGGCCCCGCGTCGGGCTCTGTGCTGACTGCCAGCTCAGAGCCTGGAGCCTGTTTCAGTCTGTGTCTCCCTCTCTCTCTGACCCTCCCCTGCTCACGCTGTCTCTCTCTCTCTCCTAGAAATAAATAAAACATTAAAAAAATTTAAAAAAAAAAAAAGAAAAGAAAAAACAAATTGAAGCTTCTATATTACAGTGTGTATGTAAAATACAGGTCCTGAAGCACCATTAAGGATTTTGTGATCCGGGACAGCACTCTACATATTTAGGCTTGTGACATCATCTGTAATCCGACCCCCGGGGAGGCTAGTTAAACTGAATTATGCCCCCATTCCCTCTCCCAATACCAGATTGGTCTCTGAGGTGGAGCCAAGAAATCCAGAGTTTTCACTCAACTGCAAACATAACCTGTCCGTGAACACATGACAGTCACTATCCGAAGGGTTATTCAAACTCAAAATACAGTAGTCTCCCATTATCCGTAGTCTCCCTTTCTGAGCTGTCAAATTACCTGTGGTCAACCGAGGTCAGGAAGCAGATGATCCTTATGAAGATGTGACCTCCATCAAAATGCTCTTGTCCTGCACCTCACTTCCTCTCATCACGTTGGGATTTTGTACTCCCAGATCCTCACAAGAGGAAAGGTGAGCACAGCACAATATATTTTGAGAGAAACCACATTTGCAGAACTTATTACAGTGTATTAAAATGGTTCTATCGTTAATCTCTTACTCTGCCTGATTTATAAATTAAATTTTTTAAAAATGTTTATTTTTTGAGAGAGGAAGAGAGACAAAGTGCGAGTAGGGAAGGGGCAGAGAGGGAGATATAGAATCCAAAGCAGGCTCCAGGCTCTGCGCTGACAGCACAGAGTCCAACGTGGGGCTCGAACTCATGAACCGTGAGATCATGACCTGAGCTGAAGTTGGATGCTTACCTAACTGAGCCACCCAGGTGCCCCTATAAATTTTATTTTTTGTATATATAGGAAAAAACATACTCTGTATAGGGTTCAGTACTATCCCAGTTTCAAGCATTGACTGGGGTCTTGGGTGTATTCCCTGCAGATAAGGGGGAGAGGGGGCTACTGGAATGTATGGTTATAGTATGTTACCACCTGGTACAAACGTGTTTCTCACAAGAGGCCCACAGAGAAGTAGGAACAAGAGAAAAAAAGGAGTAATATGATTTACACCTGCTTAGAAACAGTGATCCTTAAAATGAATAATACAACAGATAAACTTTGAAGGAGAGGAAAAATCTTCCAGGAAAAAGTTTCTAAAAGGTCACTAAACTTTAAAGAGACTTGGGGCGCCTGGGTGGCTCAGTCGGTTGAACATCTGACTTCAGCTCAGGTCAGCCCACAGTTCATGGGTTCGAGTCCCGCATTGTGCTCTGTGCTGACAGCTCGGACCCTGGAGCCTGCCTCAGATTCTGTGTCTCCCTCTCTCTCTGCCCCTCCCCCTCTCATGCTCTGTCTCTCAAAAATAAATAAACATTAACAAAATTAAAAAATAAATAAAGACTTAGTGCTGAGTGTCATTTACTAGGTATGTGACTTTGGGAAGTATGTGACTTAACCTCTTTTAGAAAGACAGAGTGAGAGCAGGGGAGGAGTGAGGAGAGGGAGAGAGAATTGCAACCAGGCTCCCCGCTGTCAGCGCTGTCGGATGCAGGGCCCAATCTCACGAATCACGAGATCCTGACCTGAGCCTAAATCAAGAGTCAGACGCTTAAGTGACTGAGCCACCCAAGTGCCCCTGTGACTTAACCTTCGTTTTCTCAAGTATAAATTATAAACACAAGTTCTATCTTCATTGGTTTTTGTTAAAACATAGTGAAATACATGGCTTAAAAACCTGTTAAGTATTATGTATATGTGTGGAAAAACTGCTTTTCTTCATTAATCCTTCATAGTCCTTCACAATTTACTCCAAGTTTACTCAAAATGAAAGAATGTCCAGAATGGTTTCAAAGTTCTTGAAATCCTTCCTGGTCTTGATATACCTTTAACAACTTAGGGCAAAAAATCTGTTTATCAAATGTTATCATCTTGACCTTTTGCCTTTTGTAGGCAAAGAAATAGACATTTTGCTTTGCTTTCAAAAATTGTCAACTTCCTATTTTCCTCCTACCATGGAATAGAAGAAAGAAAAGGTAAATGGCATGTTGAATATAACCTCAATGATAAAGTAAAGAAAGAAAAAATAAAACCTCCATTTTCCCCCCAGCCTGACAAGGTAACTTTCAAGAAGAATCGTGTAAGAATGTTCACTAATAGGTATTGACTACTTCCCAAACCTAATTTTCTTTCTCCTGTGTTGTCTTAGCCTATTTCACGCTACTGCTATAATAGCATTAATCCAATTTTTAGAGTCCTAAGATTATGACAAAAATGACTTATATACCAAATTATCTCATTTTAATCCTCCTTTGTGGATTTGCCCCAAAGATAATGAACAAGTCATCTCTTGTCGCTGGATTTAAAACAAAGTACAAAGACCAATTCCATCTAATAATTTGGGAAACCTATCCAGAGCAAAGCCCAGCTTTGAAAAAGGAGGTATTTGCCGTTCCAGAGGACTGGCCAGAGGCTTTCAGGGTCTGGTGCGGTTGGAGAAACCCCGCTCGGTGTGCCCTGGGTCGGGAGGTTGGCTTCAACTGTTCCCCAGAACCTCACTCCCCTTCCATAAACTGTTCCATGGAGCGGGCCATCAGCATCTGGCCACCAACCTTCTCTATCTGTAGCCCTTCAGGAGAACCGGCAAAGTGGAGGCATGAGTGTGAACACATGACTCTCTGAGTGCTCTCTTCCTGAGCTAAGCCATCTCCCTTCCCACAGCCAACTGGGGGAAGTGTTCAGATGCTTTTCTACAACCTGCCAATATGTCAAGAGGAATCAGAAGCTTTTCAGTCCCTTTCCTGAGTAAACCTTAGGTCCTGTGTTAAAGGAGGCTCCTTAGAAAACAAGTTTCAAAGATTGAGAGGAGGCAGTATTTTCAAGGACTTGAGTAATACAGAGTAAAACAGTTGAGTGGCCCCTGCTGAAGTTCACAGTGAAGAAAGAATATTTTTAAATAAAATATCAGCTGGGACTCATGATACCAGGAAAGTGCCAGTAGATGGCATGAGTAAGCAAGAAGTTCAGCCCTTAACTGCTAGTCTGGCCTGTCTTTTGGAAAAGAACATCCGAAGCAGTCTTCCAGTCAGCTCACCTGAACGCGAGAGGACTTTACCCCAACAGGGTAGAGTTGTTGTGGGGGTCAAAGGAAATCAAATGTGAGAACGTGCTTGGAAACTACAAA